CTAATCCTACTAGTCCTGCTCCTTTGCTCCTTACCCTTTCCTCTGAGATCTCCTTGTGGGCTTCACTACAAGCTTCTACTTCTTTGCCTGCTTCTGCACAGCAGCAGAAGGGCCATCAAATTCCTGAATTTTGCAAAAGGAGGAGCTTAAGTTTTTGACCACTTTATTAGCAATGATAGGTGGATCAGCATTACACGGCAAACAATTTCTGTCCAGACAAGTATTTCTCTTATATCCTTTGTTAATCAACTGTAATCTTTCACTCGTCCTTACCTCAGATTCCACCATGGATAACTTTTCTTTCCTCTTCCTGTTAGCATGCACTGCAGATGTACTTGAGGGTAGCACATCCATAGGAAAGGAGGAACCCTTCCCTTGAGGAGTGGAAAAAGCCAGCTTTGGGGCTCCTCTGCAGCTTCTAGATTCTGCAACTTGCATGCAGGGGCCTGAATAGAAGTGCATTTATTAGGAATGACAAAAGGTTTAAAGAGGTTGATGTTAGAACCTTCTAGTATATAACTCCAAATCTGGGAAGAGAGCGGAGATTTTGCCCAATCAAATCTATCAAGTGAGAGAAAGGCAAGAGATAAAAAATTTGTCCACTCTATGGGTACCTGAACCACTTTGTCTGCATCAGAGGAGGGAGCAAAAAGTTTGTTCCAGATAGATGCCCCTTCTTCACCTAAAATTTGTGTGTCAGTCAGCTCAGGGAGCATCTTTTGAAAAACAGGATCAGCTACATCTGACATAAATTGCATAGCCCCAACTGTGATATTATGCTGCAGACCCTGATAGATATGAAGAGGGAAAAGTAGTACTTTTATCCCCAGGGAGTAAATCAAAAGAGGGAGCAGGGATATCTAGCTCCTGCAAAGCCAGTGACCTGTTTAAGGTAGGGGCTGCATGTTGTTCCAAAACATGCTCTGACTGAGAATTTGAAGGTACCAAAGCAGCATCAAAGTGTGCATCGTCAGGGATCTGCAGACCAGTCCGTGAAACTTGTGGCTCTGATGAATCCTTAGGTAGCAAAGCATCATGATCATCAGGAATAACTATAGAGAAAACTATATGAATAGACACATGATCGGGAACGGGTGAAACAACTTCATTTCCTTGAGAAAAGTTGTCCAGAGGCACTACAACTGGAGAAGAGCCATTTGTAGCAACATTAGAGTCCATTGCAGCATGATCAAGTGAAACAACTGCAACATCAACATGTTGCTTAGCAGCAGCATTAATATCTAATGGAGGTTGATCTAAAACTGGCAAAGGTTCCACCATTTTAGCATTAATAGGAACAAAATCAACCTCCTGAGCAAGGGGAACATCCATAGCCAAATTTAAATCAAGAAAAGGTAGATTTAGATCCAGAGGAGCCAGAAGATTTGCCAGATTATTGACAGGAGGACCATTGTTGATTGACTCTGCAGTACTAGCAGACTAGTCAGTCCACTCACTTCAAGAGCAGGTTGCTGCACAATATTTTCCTCAAATGGCGCAAGCAAGTCATTAAGTTCAAGAAACTCTCCATCATGAAGTTCTTGATCAATCAACTGAGCTTTATTAGGCATAGCCCAATGACCCCAACCAGGATCTTCTTCAGCCAAGTCTTCCCGATCCTCAACTTGGTTGTTATTGTCCTGCTGATTCCCTGCATCTTGGTTGGCATTATGGACAACCGGGAAAGGACCAATGATCAGGTTTTGATTAGGATGATGGTGCTCTTCATCAGGTCTGGGGTGTGGATTACCATCCACAGGAATTGGATCCTCCTCTAGTGGGTCGTCTCCAATATGGCTATCATGAATAATGACAACTGGGCAAGTCTAAGACTCCCCTTCTTTCTTATCAGAAGAAACCACAATGTTGGCAGGTATCTCCCTGAGAGCATCAACATAAACTTTAATTAACACTGCTGCATCAGAGGATTTAACACTGTCCCAAACAGACATCTTCCCAAAGCTTCTCGTAGAATTGGCTAACTCATGAATACATCTAAGATCCGCAGGGAAACCCACTAACAACAGCCAAACTTCTCTGTCTAAATGGAATTTCTTCCAGTTAAGCCCTTGGTTATGCCTTTGGAAAACATAGTGAATATCATCATGTCTGTGTGGACCGCTATTAGCAAGCAAATCTCTCTCTGCCACACTGTTGAAGTGAACAAAAGCTTGGCCAAAAGGACAGGGAGTGATAGATTTGAAGCCCACACGTTTAATCTGAGTAAGAAAATCTCCCAAAACTTCTCTAACATTAGCAAAGGGGACCTCACCGACAGGCATCAAAAGGATAGAGACAATCGCCAGGTCTTCTTTCCCTGCAGAAAAATCACTGCAGACCACACGCGCGCGAGCTGGTCGATCAGCCACCTCAATGACAGAGACACCTCGTGGGACAAATGGCGTAGGATCGAAGGGGAAAGTGGCCATTGGAGCGGCAGCAGAGTTCGGGATATTGTTGGCGAGGATGGGTTGAGGGGGATTTGTTGCTGGCAAGGAACTGGGAGGTAACACTCTCTCAAAGGGATGGAGGTTTGGTCACTGAGGGGTGGGGCTCTGGCGGTGCTGGTCGTCACCAACCTTGGGAAGGCGGTGTTGATTAAGGTTTGTTGCCAAATTTGCCTCGGGGGGGACTCTAACACCGGAAGTCGTAGCGTTAACCCCTGATTTAGAAAAAAAAGCAGGACGACGAAATGTGGCCCAGTCTTTTGCAGTCCCGGCAACAAATCCGGTTAGTGCAAGAGGGCCTAAGGTGGTTCGAAGCGAGACAACACACACAGAAGTTACGAGAGCGGGCCTGTTGACCACTAATAAAAGTTGGCCAGCAGATTGCACAGATCCAGGATTTCGAATATGCGTTGATCCCGCCCTCCCTAAAGGAGTATTATTTGGCGAAGTTAATGCAGCAGAAACTAAAGTTGGACCCGAATTAAGCTGATTAACTTTTGGAACAAAAAATGAGGTTCTTGAGCAGCTTGAGCATATAATCTGCGACTGTTGATGCGATTAACCATCGTCCATTCTTGATTGGCCGAACTAAGATAATTCATATAAGCAATCCGAAGATCAGAATCCCCAGCGCCCCAGAGCAGGAAATCCATGGACAACAATTAATCTAAAATGTTGCCACCATGAATAATCTCGAAACCAACAGCACACGAGGAAACACAGAACTTAAAATTAGCAAAGCATATTAGACAAACTTCAGAAACTTTGCTCATCTAGCCTTTTACATTGGAGACCAAGGCCTCCATTAGAGAAGAATTCCAAGGAATTACGAAGACCTACATATAAGAGGATTGTGGAAGATCTACCTCTCAGGACCCCTTTTCTCTTACCGATTTGGGGAAAACTTCACCTTGTCTCTTTTTCCCTTGTTTGTGAATCTTGATGTGTCTCTTTACTTGGATGCTTTGAGAGCACACGTGTGATGTGAACCTTGTTCATGTAGTGATCTCCCAGTTCAGTGCCACCATCTCATTTCATAACAACAATCCCAAAAAGTTTAACCATAGACGTAGCAAAGCCTGCTGAGAGCTGAATTGGATTTTCGAGCGGTTAACTCTATTATTGTCCTTGCTCCTAGATGGTAGCGTCATGTTATTAAGGATTGGCATCACCTGGAGTTTTACACTGCAAATAGAATATTGTGTTTTATCACTTTCATGAAGTGATAGGTGTGCATTTTCTTTCTTCTCGAGAAAGAAACAAAAGCTTAGTCGTCCAGGGTTTTCCCGCCTGCCGCCGGCGCCATCGTAGAACTGCATTGTCTTCTGTGGCCTTAGGGCTATGGAGCCGTAGTGAATCCCGACCCTTGCCGACGGGAGAACTCATGCTTCAATTTTAGGTGTTTTTTTAGTTTGTGTAGTGTTTTTTCTCCTGCTTAAGAAGGCGAGGTGGCGTCGGCTCCCAACAGATGGAATAAGGTTCTCCCCGTGTAGCCCCCGTACCGGTAACACGTCTCACGTCGTCGGGGCGTGTGGAGGTTTGTCTATGATGGATCTCATGAGACTCGGCAGGTGTTTGTATTTGGTGGATCTGCGTGGATCCGGTCTTTGTTCGTTTGCGTTCATGTGTCTATAGGTTGGATCCTTCTAATCTATGTTCTCTTTATCGGCGGTGGCGGTGTTATTCTAGTGTGATAGTTCTATGGGACTTTAGCACAACGACTTCTAAACTATCTACTATAACAAGGTTTGTCTCACTCCGCTGAGGGAAGGACGATGACGGTGGCACATCTTCGGCTCGCTCCAGTGCTTATCGTTATCGCTAGGTGGTCTACACACATAGCTGTATTTTTTGTTATTTTTATGTTTTTTTGTACTATCATGATTTCTAATGAATAGATCAAACTGCACCCGCAAAAAAAGGTCCGTGAAATAAATTGGGGCGGGGAGCCATTTAATCACATTCTAACAAGAGCTGATTTTCACACGGCATGACAAGATCGATGTACAACTGTACTCCCTCCTTTCCGGTTTATAGGGCTTATTTCAAAATTTTAGTTTTTCCATTTTATAAGGCTTAATTTGGTTGTTTCCCATCACATGTTCAGATTCCAAGGTGCATTAAATCATTGAATGCAAGTATTAAGAGAAAATTGACCAATGCATGTAATTTATGCATGCATGCATTGCAATTAATGCATTGGTAAACATACTTTTTTGAGAAAAACAAAATCATTAATTTGAGTGCTTTTGCAAACTCCAAAAGGTATTTCACCACTCACCATCTACCTTGGTTGATGAGATTTTTGAATTGAGCCTTATAAACCGGAAATGAGGGAGTAGAACACAGCTCTGTCTCCTCGATTCATGTTAAAACCCCATAGTCGTCTGGAATTGGTCGGCTGGAATATGGACAATCGAACATAACTGGAAAACGCCGGAAAAACAAGGCGTCTAGCAACCCCGCGCGCACAGCAGACAGCGCTGCCACTCGCGAACAAGCACGAAGCAAATCCAAGAAACAAAAAAACATGCACCGTGCATGACGATTTATCTACGCGCTCTGCGCCTCCAAGAAGGCGTTAAACTCGGCCCTGGCCATCGCCAGCCGCGGCGTGATGCACGGCGACGTCGGGCACGACGCCGGAGGCGCCGCGGCCGTCGAGAACCTTACGTGCCGCTGCGACGCGGACGACGTCCTGGGGGCCGAGTCCTGCCGCTGGGACGCCGACGCCGACTTCTTCAGGATCCCCCTCGGCTCGCCGTCGAACACGCACGCCGTCTTGGTGGGAGTAGCTGGCTCCTGCCGGCGCGACTCCGATGCCGACTTCTTCAGGACCCCCCTCGCCTCGCCCTCGAACACGAACGCCATCTTGACCGGCAGGTCCGCGTCGTCCGCGCAGCTGATCTTGGGCACCTCCATCGCGAAGTCCATGTCGACGTGCGCCGGCACGACCCTCACCGGATGCGGCGGCGGCGGCGGGCTCCACGACCCGCACTCGAACCTCTCCAGCTCCGCCATCCGCGACACGCTGCTCCGCCGCCTCGCCCCCGAATGCTGCCTCTGTATGCTCGACACGACGGCCGCCGCGGACGGTGATCCCGGCTTCTTCTTGGCGAAGCCGGGGATGAACATGCACAGCACGCCGCACGTGAAGCTTTGCTCGGCCTCGTCGGCGGCCTCGACGTTGGGGACCTCGTCGTCGTGCGGCGCCATCGACCTCCCCTCGGCGCGGGACGCGCTCCTCGAGAGCGTGGTGGGAGCCGCGGACGGCGAGGCGGCATAGCTGGCGAGCGCGGCGGAGTGCTGCCGCGCGAGGGAGCGCAGGGCCATGACCGTGTCGAGGCTGGGCGCGGCGGGCTCGTCCCGCTTGGCCGTGGCGCTGTGGACGGGGGAGGAGGTCGCGGAGCAAGGCAGGCTGGCGCCGACGAACGTGGGCCGGCGTAGCGGCGGCAGGAGCGGGGACGACTGCGCGACCACCTCCGTGAGCACGGACGGCGCGGAGAGGGGCGAGTCCGGGTCGGCCACCATGCCCAGGTGCCGCAACGAGACCGGGTCCACGGGGATCTGCCGCTCGTCCTCCATCGACGGCGACACCGGGCTCTTGCTGCCGTCCTCCGCTGCGGCCTCTCGCGGTCGTGTTGCCGCCGTACTGCTCACGGCCGGACCGGACACGGGCTCGTCGGCGGACTGCATGGTGGGCGTTGTTGTGCGCTCCTAGGATGGGCTAACTACTCCGGCTGCGGTGCCTGCACGAACTGAACTGGCGAGCTGGCGCAATACATACGCGCGGGACGCTTAAAAGAAAGGGAAATGAATCAACTAGTATTTGACTTTGGGTTGTGCGTGCTTGGTATCCTCGTAGTGGAGAGCATGAACTGGCATAGGGGCGGCATGCTCTGGTGCATGGACGCTACTACTCCTAATTCGTGGCGGCTTAGTGGTTCACCATGTCCATGTGTTTTGTTCTTCTTTCCGAGAAAACTTCGGCGCAGGAACGGGTCAGCTCCCGGCCAAAGGGTGCCAAGGGCAACCTCCCTGCTCTCCAACACGCGCAACTCTTGCTGGCCCAGAAGAACATGGAGACCGAAGGTAACCCCCTACCCCGTTTTACGATTTTCGACAATTACTCGGATGAGTGCCTTGGTAGTATTTTAGGGGATAGTGGGGTTGATCTGTCTGATGAGGGTGAGGCCCGAGAGCTCCGGTCTCTCATTCGCTCTAAGGAGATCGCGCAGGCCGCGCTTGCCCAGGCGGCGGCGGCACGCGCTGCGACGGCACCAGAAGAGGCAGGGGCTTCTCTGGTCCCGGTCGCCCGGCCCGATCGGGCGGACACAGCAGCAGGGGCTGCACGGTCCCCCCCAGCCGGTGGTCCTGTGAGGACACGACGAGTGGCCAAGGCGGTTACCGCTCGTGGTATCCGCCTCCGCAATCGCATAATCTAAATGCGTTTCCTATTCTGGAACATCCGATGCTACGGGCACGTTGGGAGGCGGACCCAGCTTAACGAGTTCATTCGCGGCGAAAACATCGATGTAGTTGGTCTGCAGGAAACCATCAAGGCTGATTTCTCTCACCGAGACCTACTCGCCATCGACCCGCTCGAACGCTTCGTGTGGCACTGGGTGCCAGCGATTGGCCACTCTGGGGGCATGCTACTTGGCATCAGCCATGTGTGCTGCGAGGTGGTGGCTTGGGACGCCGGTCGATTTTTCGTGTCGGCTCATGTTCGCCCCGTGCGTCGCTCCGCAAGTGGGAGGTTATAGTGGTCTACGGCCCGGCAGATCATTCTCACTCGCATGAGTTCTTGGGGGAACTTCAGGAAAAGGTTGCGGCCTTGGGTGTTCGCAACCTACCCCTCATCGTGGGAGGGGATTTTAACCTCATCCGTTCGGGAGCGGATAAGAACAACGGGATTATTAACTGGACAAGGGTGTCCATGTTCAATAATGCGATTGCTTCTATGGCCCTTAGGGAAGTGGCTCGCGTGGGCGCACGCTATACCTGGACAAACAAGCAACTCTCACCGGTCCGGTCGGTGCTGGACCGTGTTTTCATGTCCGCGGAGTGGGAGATGCTCTTCCCCATGTGCTCACTTCACGCTGAAACGAGGATCGGGTCGGATCACGTCCCTCTTATCCTCTCCTCGGGGGAGGACCGGTTAAAACGAAGCCCACGGTTTTTCTTTGAAACTGCTTGGTTTGAAAACCCAGAATTTGAACAAATCTTCCTCTCCAAATGGGAGTCCTGTGTGGCCCGGATACGGCACGCGAGAGGGCCCATGGATTTCTGGATCTCCGCAGGGGCGGGGTTGCGCGCGGCCCTCAAAGGTTGGGGGGCCAACCAGGGCCGCGAGGATAAGTTGCTCCGAGCCCGTTTGGTGACGGACCTCGACCGTATGGACGCGGCTGCGGACGTACGGGTTTTCTCTGAGCAAGAATGGGCCGAGCGGTACGCTGTTGAGGCCCAGGTTGAGGCCCTCCTCCGTGCAGAGGAGGAGTACTAGCGTAGGAGGGGTGGAATAAAGTGGACGCTCGAAGGGGACGCAAACACAAAATACTTCCATGCTTATGCCAATGGCCGGCGACGTAAGTGTGCCATTCTGAGGTTGCAATCGGAGCAGGGGCTCCTATTGCGCCAACAGGACATAGTCCGGCACATTTACGATTTCTACATCAAGCTGCTGGGCTCCAGGGAGGAGTCCAGGGCTCGCCTACGGGCGGATATCTGGGATCCCGCTCTGCTGGTCTCGGATGAAGAGAACGAAGGCTTGGGCCTCGCCTTCCTTCCTCAGGAAATCGACCAGGCGATCCTGGGGATGAAATCTGACATGGCACCCGGCCCGGATGGGTGGCCGGTGGCGATGTTCAAATTTTTTTGGCAAGTCCTCAAGGGCCCCATTTTCGAGGTGTGTAACGGGTTTATGCGTGGCACTGTGGACATATCGCGCCTTAACTTTGGGGTTCTTTCGCTTATCCCCAAAGTTCAGGGCGCGGACAATATTAGACTTTTTCGTCCCATAGCGCTTATCAACGTCCCGTCCAAAATCTGCTCTAAGGCTTGTTCTACGCGCTTGTCTCCGGTGGCCCATCATATTATTAGTAGGAATCAAACGGCGTTTATTCGTGGTCGCAACATTTTGGAGGGCCCGTTGGCCCTACAAGAGATCGTTCACTCGCTCAAGCGTAGCCGCCAGCCGGCAATACTTCTGAAATTAGATTTCGAGAAGGCGTACGACCGAGTGAACTGGGAGTTCCTCCGACAAATCCTTCTGGATCGAGGGTTTTCGGCAGTTTGGGTTCACCGTATGATGCAATTGGTCTCGGGAGGCCAAACGGCGATTGCGGTGAACGGAGAAGTTGGGAACTTCTTCCGCAACAAACGTGGGCTGCGTCAAGGGGACCCAGCCTCACCGTTGCTTTTCAACTTTGTGGCAGATGCACTGGGCGTCATGCTAGACAAAGCTCGCGTTGCTGGCCACATCAGGGGAGTGGTCGGCAATCTGATCCCTGGAGGGGTGTCGCACCTTCAATATGCCGATGACACCCTACTCCTTTTTGAGCCGGACACTCACAGCATAGCAACGGTTAAGGCCATCTTGTTATGTTTTGAACTAATGTCCGGACTAAAAATTAACTTCCACAAGTGTGAAGTGGTGTCCATAGGGATGGGCGCGGCCGAAAGCGAACGGGTGGCCAACTTGCTAAATTGCAAGCTTGGAAAGTTCCCGTTCACCTACCTTGGCCTACCGATCGCAGAGAAGAAATGCTCGATTGCCGATTGGGAACCTCTCAACACTAAGGTGGCAGACCGGGTATGTCCATGGAGAGGTCGATTTATGTCATCAGGGGCACGACTAATCCTTACTAACTCAAGCCTCTCGTCCCTACCCATGTTCGCCATGGGTATGTTCTTGTTGGAGGATGGCGTCCATAAGAAAATGGACACTCCCCGGGCATGTTTCTTTTGGGAAGGTGCGGGCCCTAAACGGAAGTACCACATGGTTAAGTGGCAAGCCGTTTGTCGACCTAAAACCCAGGGGGGTCTCGGGGTCATCAACTCTAAGCTGATGAACATAGCACTTATGTGCAAGTGGATCTGGAAGCTGTCCCAGGGAGGGACCGGCCTCTGGATTGACCTCCTTCGTGCCAAGTACTTCCCTCATGGGAATTTCTTTGAGGCATCTCCTCACGGGTCACCTTTCTGGACCTCCATCCAATACCTCAAACCGTACTTCGCCAGGGGAGCGAGGTTTACGGTCCACAATGGCCGCTCCACCCGGTTTTGGCACGACGTGTGGATTGGCCAGCAACCCCCTTGGTCGGAGTTCCCCCACCTCTACGCCATCGCGGTTGATCCCAATCAACTGGTGGCGTCGGCCCTCAGTGCCTCCCCGCCCCCCATATTCTTCAGAAGGGAGCTTCTGGGACTGGAGCAGGCCGAGTGGGATCACGTGCGGGCTTTGACTGCGACCGTTCGCTTATCGGACTCCGCTGATGAGGTCTCTTGGAGACTCTCGGGCTCTGGCAAGTTCACTGTCAAGTCAATGTACAGGAAGCTGTGTCGCGGGCATGCCCCTATGGCAGCCACGGGGCTTTGGAAGGCGTGAATCCCGCTAAAAATTAAGGTCTTTCTTTGGCAATTATGTCAGGATCGCCTTCCTACCTCTATTAATATAGCCAAGCGCAATGGCCCTGCTTCCGGACCGTGCGCTCTGTGTCATAACGTGGAAGATGCTGACCACGCGTTTTTTCGCTGCCCTTTTGGCGCGGTTTGCTTGGAGTGCGGTCAGGGAGGCCGCTGGGGTGGATTGGGATCCACGCTCACGTTCTGAGCTTGTGTCTTACTTAGCTGCGACCCCGGGCTCTTTGCGCCGGATAATGTGGACGTGTGCTTCGGCCTTGCTATGGGCCTTATGGCATATTCGCAACAAGTTTACTATTGAGGGAGCGTTTCCCTCTCACCCCGCCGATGTTATCTTCAAATGCGTCTTATTCTTGCAGCGGTGGGCTCCGCTGGGAAGGCAACAGGATGCTGATCTCCATCGACATGCTACCGCTCGGCTCTGCACAGTCTACTCGGTGTCCCGAGCCCCGTTGCCTCCTCCGTCTGCTGCCTTATAGGGATAGGCGGCCCTTTTGGTCCTGCTTTCTTTGAGCCTGCGTGCTCGCTACTCTGGCTAGCTATGCCAGTAACGCACTTATCACCGGTCTCGCCTCTTGGCTCTGTTTCGAAACTTGGCTGTCTAGCCTCGGTTTAGTTTGGTCTGATACTTGTTCGCACGCTGCCTAATGTTGTGGGCTTTATTAATTTAAAGCCGGACATCTCTGACGTCTATGTTCTAAAAAGAAAAAGAAAACTTCCGTTTTATTCATATTTAATCACTTTAGCTAGTTTCAGTCGGCTGAATTTAGTTTTGTGGTTAGTCGATTTTCTGGCCCTTGGATTGTGCTTTGAAATTTATGTAGATTTTTTTTTCCTGTCACGTTTTGCTGGTTGTATCAGGCAGTTTGTATTCGACCGGCCCTTGTTTTGGGTCAGTCGATTTCCTTAGGCTGGATTTTGATTTGATGTGTGCATGCTTTCTTTCATGTGTTTGTTTTTATTTATGGATCTGTATGTTTCTATTTTTTAATTTTTCAGTTGAGTTTTTTTTCTTTACGTGTATTTTCAACATGAGTGTGTGGGAAGAAGCC